TTTTGTTTTGTAAATAGGTTTGTGCACCCCATCCTGATTATAGGTCCGAACTTAGTACCTATATTTGGACCTATAATCAGGATGGGGTGCACAAACCTTTTATTTCGGGGTGGGCTGCACAAACCTTTTGTTTTGTAAATAGGTTTGTGCACCCCGCCCTTTGGGGCATTGGTTGATAATGGCCTATCGGTTGCAGGGTGGGGTGCACAAACCTTTTATTTCGTTCTTTGCATAGTGCCTCCGGAAAGGAACGAAGGAATTGCCATGTTATCCACCCTACCCCTACATGGCCGCAGCATCCATACTCACACTAAGTCAAACACACATGCAACACCAGACATGGCATTCTCTTGCACACAAGCTCCTTGTCTAGCACATGACCCCTCAACCACAAGGGGGCCTCTCCCCCAACGGCCACACACTCGTGGTATGATTTCTTTTTCTTCTTTCTTATTTTTTCTTATTTTTTCTTTTAGACTCCTGGTATGATTTCCAGGCAGCTTACCAGTCTAAGCACAGATCAGTACCTCCACCGCCTCGGATCCCTCCGCCTGATTCAGAGGGGCCGCGCGGTTTGGTGCGCCGTTGCAAACAAAAAATCAGTGACCTCAAAAGTGGTGCTGCGGGTTTCATGCCGGCACCTGCGGGCTGATGTGTGGTGTGCTGGTGCTTTAAGGGGTATCCCCCTCCCCTCCCTCCCACTCCTGCAGTGGCCCGTACACTTCCTAAAATTGTGGCTTGTTAAACCACCAGTACCCGCATTCCAGCAGGTGCCACTCCCCACCACCGGGATAGAGGGCTTTAAAAAGGGCTATTTTCTCAAAAAAAAAAAAAAAAAAAACACCACCACTACCTCCACATTTTTAGGCCATTAACGCGGTGGCTGAATCGGTGTGCCGCACAGGTCCATATGCATTTGCCTCAGAAGTTCCCCAGAGGGGACCTAAGACCAGCTGGGGTACTGGTGGTTTAAACCACCAGCCACCAGTACTTGGCCCCAGCCTTGCAGTCCGAAACTTGTCGCCACAAGAACACGAGGCCGAAACGTCAAACGCTGGCTGGGCCCGCCGTTGACAAATTCGATCTGTCGCCTCTTTTCCATTTCGCGCTTCCAGAATTTGAGGTGTCAGCCCCGCGGCCCAGGTGCCCACCATGCACTGCTGATTTAAATAGCACAACTTTGTCAAGTACTCGTGGTTTAAACCACCAGTACTTCCTCGAGTCGTGCTGGCTAACTCGCCACGATTTTAGGAAACGTATGGGGCACTAAAGGAGCGCCGAAATTCATCCAACTAGAAATGTGCCCACTCTTTTTTTTCCCGCGGCCGATAGCTGGGCCAAGTACTGGTGGCTTAACAGCTGTACCTCCATGTACCATCCCACTATCTCCATGTCTATCAACCAAATTAATCGGAACAATCCTTTTTTTTTCCAAAAACGCTCTGATCTGTTGGTGGGGACCACCACCTGCAATTATTGAACGATAAGTCACATACCATTGAAATTGCCGTTGTAACTGTCAGAAGGCTCTTTCAGAAACTTTCCTCACCCCCTTCAGAAGGGCTCTTCCCGAATCTTTCATGCTCCACGGGCACAAAGAACTTACCCACACTAGCATCGGATGACAGCACATGTCAGAAGTTGCTTGCGTTGGATTCAAATTTCAAAACAACAACCCAAAATGCTTTCAAATGGCCCCATACTTCATACGAAGGAAACCTTTAAAGCAGCAACACCAACACGGAATCAGTGCTTTTCAAGCACTGCCACCTCTTCTCCCCCCCTCCTCCCCTCCCCCCCCGACCCCACCCAGCCCCCAGACAACAGTCATTTCCTCCCAGTTTAAGAGATGCAGTGACACACATGTATTGCACCACTTGAGAAAGCACTGGAGCTGCACCAGCTGTCAATCCAGGGACATTTCCCCTCCTCCCCCTACCCTGCCCTCTCCTCCCCCCGTCCCAGCCACCCACCCAAACTCAGAATGCGAATCTCTTATATATACATATACATATGTATATACCGCTAAACAGTTTATCTTTGGCAATTGTATATATGTATACATAAACTGTTTGACAATATATATATATCGTCAAACAGATATATATATATATATAGGGTTCAGCCTCCTGATGAGTCGGTGAAACTCCGACGATACAGTTTGTCACTCCCCCCCCCCTCTCCTCGTTTGTTGTCCTCTTCTCCCCCTCCCTCTCTGCCTACGGTTTACCGGGCAGCTCTCTCTCTCTCTCTCTCTCTCTCTCTCTCTCTATATATATATATATATATATATATATATATATATATATATTTGTCCTCTTCTCCCTCTCTGCCTACGGTTTACCGGGCAGTTCTATTTGACGATATATATACGACGTCACAGAGAACCGCCTGGTATACATGTACGAAAGCATGATGTCCTGTATTATGGCGTTTTCGGGACACCAATGGGACATTTCCCTCCCTCCCCTCTGAACCCCCATTATTTACACGCTATATGCATGCATATATTCGAGAACTGTTTCTTGAAAAGAAAAGTACTTGAACTTAGAAGAAGCCCCATGGGTTTTCGATAACCGTAAAACTAACGACAGCATCCAGTGATGATTCTGGTGTCAAAAAGCTGTTTGTCAATATCCGCCATTTCACACTAACTGTTACAAAACTTACAATGTGTTCGAGGGCATACTCACACTTGCACTTTCCTGAATGTATCTGACTGCAATTATGGCCAGACATGGATGCATCGGACATACTCACACTTGCACTTTCCTGAATGTATCTGACTGCAATTATGGCCAGACATGGATGCATCGGACCGCAATCACGTCCGTCCGGAGTTGGTTGAATGAAGAAAGTCCTAGAGTGAGGATGCCCTTTCCTGAATGTATCTGACTGCAATTACAGCCAGACTTCTATGCATCGGACGGACCGCAATCGCGTACAGAGTTGGTCGAAGAAAGTCCTACAGTGAGGATGCCCTAAGACCATACTAAGCCTGTATTACACTCACTAGTCTGGCTGTAGCTAAACTAAAACTTGACCCAAATACAATCATACCAGTCACAGCCGCCGAGCCACCACCAGTCCTTACCTCCACTTACTAGTACCGTTTTCACCCAAATACAACGTACGGTCATTACTGATGTACCTAGACTCAAACTTGACCCAAATACAATCATAACGACCGTACATTGTATTCGGGTGAAGACGGTAGTGGTAGTGTCCCTTGTACCACCAGTCCATCCGAGCCTCCCCCTCACCTCTCTCTTTTCCAACATGCTGAGCACACCTCTGCTAAGCTGCCTTCTGCAGAAACCGAACCGTCGCAGGCGCGATCTCGATGGGCGCCGCCAGTCTTTTCCCTCCGGTGACCCTGACCGGCCGCAATTATGTGCCGCATTAACTGGCGCGGTGGAACAAGGTTCCGCGCTGAGTGAGCTACCCGGCCCAACAAAGAACAAACCGTTGCAGTCGAGGTCTTGATGGGCGCCAACGGACTTTTCCCTCTGCTAAAAGCCCACACCGCAATTTCGCGGTGCATTACCTAGCGCGTTGGGACAGGGCTCCGCGGTGAGCTGCCCTGCCCGGAAAAGACAAACCGTCGCAGACGCGATCCTGATGGGCACTGACAAGGCTCCGCGGTGAGTTGCCCAGCCCAGAAAAGCCAAACCGTTGCAGATGCGATCCTGATGGGCACCGCCGGCCTTTCCACCCCCCCCCCTCCAGTAAACCCGCACTGCAATATCGCGGCGCGTTAACTGCTGTGTCGAAACAAGGTACCGCGGAAACAGACTGGTGGTTTAAGGACGGACGACGGACGCTCAGAGAATCAGTCCTCAGCTCCGCATCCTACCGTCTTCGCCCATATAGAACGCCCCGTCAACAGTAGCAAAGCATGGCATGCATGACATTAACAGAAGCATGACACCGAAGCATGACGTGCATGAGATTAAAAGCTGTGCTTGGTGCAACTTTCAGCCTGGATACTGCGATGATGACCGGCCGGTTTATTCGGGCAACGAGCAGATCCAGAGAACATAAGTGCCGCAAATCATTTCTCTGTTCGACGTCTGTGTTTCACAAGAGCAAGAGCATCCCCCCCAGTCACTTCCAATACCTGCTATTGTGTATCTAGTCAGTATTGTGCAGTAAATGCATGCCATCCAGTCACTACACAGTCAACAATTTTGCATATCCGTCCGTAATCGAGTTACTACACAACAGTCTCAACTTGCAGGATGAATCATCATGGAAGATTCATCCACATAAAATTTCATGTCCTTTATAAAACAGAGTGGTTGCGCACCAACAGACGTGTCGATGATGCCAACCACTGATCCGCATGTGTGGTGAAAATACTCAAAAATGATTAATTAATATCTAAAGGTCCGCTAACAGAAATACAATCATCTCAAAAAACCAACTGCAATTCACTATCACTCCCGTCCATCACCTCTACAATCACCCTCGTCGCCAGAGTGGTGGTCCCCCACGATTTGTTTCCCTGGACCCTGGATGCAGCTGCCATCTGCCATGCAGACAACTCTCTTTCTTCTCTCTCTTTCTTCTCTCTCTTTCTTCTCTCTCTTTCTCTCTCTTTCTTCTCTCTCTTTCTTCTCTCTCTTTCTTCTCCATGGTGTGCAAGACACGTCGGCTGGCCGGCACATCTGTATACCACAACGCCCCCAGAATCAGATCCCACTTTGTTCGACTTCTCCGTATGTAGTGGAGCTGAACGCTCATCCGTATGAAGCTGAACGGTCCTCCGTGGGGAGCCGAACGCTCCTCCGTGGGGAGGAGAACGCTCCTCGGGAGAGAATTTGCTGCGAAAAGTTGCGGTGAAAACCACCTGTGTACGCCTGACGACACTCCCGTCAGAACATCCAATCCTTACATCTCCATCTACTCTACTCTAAAGAGAGAACATACATACAGTGAAGGATATGAACCATCCGTCTGTTAGATCGGCTCTCCTCCTGTCTGCTGGTAGCAGACCAGATCAGTGGATCCAACCAAAAAGAGCTCACCGGCTTGCCGTCCCATCCATCTCCTACAAACCCTGTACCTCCTCGATCGATGTGGACACTCCTCTCGGAGTCGCTTGAGGAAAGAGAAAGGCGTTGGATACCATATATCAGTCAATGTGTCGAACGCGCATGGCCCCTCCCCTTCAACCCCCCGCCCTCGCCTCCACAGCCTCTGCTGGCCCCCTCCAAACCCACCCAATGCGCCTGCATGCCAACCCTGCTCAGAGCTGACCAGCTATAAAAGTGCCACGAAACTCGACAACAAACATCTCCCAAACGTCTCACAAACTGCAGATGACACTGGGCTCGCCAAAGTCAAAGTCAACCCAAACGTTGACTGCAAAAATTTGTTGACGTACGCAAAAAGTCTTCCGACCATCCTCATCGCACGGAGAGTACTGGAGAAACTGCTACTTCGCCGATTCCTGCGTGCATCGCATGAAGAGGTCTTTCCCCCGTCCTCGTGCCCTGTTATGCTCTGGAACAGCTTCATCGTTCTTGAGTCTTGACTCTTAATCCGTACCCTGCCATACACCTTCCTCACACACGTCGACAAATCTTAATACACACACCTCTCTTCGACGTCAATTGGACACAGCGATTCAACAGTGTCCACAGCAGAACACACTTAACCGTTTTGGGTGATGAGCTGTCACTGTTTCCAAATGCAGCACTGTCATTCAACGCTCGTAATGGTGTCGTCCGTTGGCAGATGCAGCAACTCCATCTGAGACATGCCACAGGAAAACATTATGGGTGTCCTTGCGTCCGTCCCAGCAAAGGTGAACAAGCCCTAGACTAGAATAAATATTATTAAATCTAAAAATTGTGGAATGCTTCCTGTCCTCCCTGACGTCACCTCAGATGTACCACATCCCAACCTGCTCGCCATCACCTCGACTTAAAAGTTCTCTTTGCCGTCCTTGTGTCCACAGCCACGTCTCTCTCTCTCTCTCTCTCTCTCTCTCTCTCTCTCTCTCTCTCTCTCTCTCTCTCTCTCTCTCTCTCTCTCTCTCTCTCTCATGCATGTGTGCGTGTGTGTGTATGTGTTGTCATGTTTGCTATTCACAACTCGACAAAAAAAGCATGACTGCACCAGACTATTTTGTTAGACTTTCACGGACTCGTGTGCGTGTGTATTTGTGTGTGTCTGATTGAAGTAGGACTTCCAGGACTTCTTCTTTTCCATGTTCGGTCCTGGATTACCATCTCTCCCTTGACTTGTACACCTAATACCGCCCTGGTTTCAAAAAGATCTCCAAGGAACCAGGCTTAAGATAGTAGCACCGACTACATAGATGTGTCGGCCCCGCTTAAGCCGACTACACTAAAGATGGTAGCACCGACCACACAGATGTGTCGCGACATGCATGTGGTCGACACGGCCTGTCAGGTCCAATGCCCGACCGTTGTCCACCATACTGATCAAACATGCCCTGTCATGTCCACTGCCTCTACCACATCTCAGATCACATAAATCACCTGTTGAAAGGAGCAACCTCAACTTCAACCCTCGCATCACAGCTTACGCCCCACCAGATGGCATACACTACTACCCCCACAACCCACTCTCCTGCGTACGCTACCCCTCGCCAATGTTTTCGATCACCGAGTCCGTTGCTTTCGCCTTCGCCACCAAGAGAAAGAAAAAGAAAACTATCTTCACCCTCCTCTCTCACTTCAAGTTCAGTTTGAAAAAGCTGCCGCAGATTTACCTGACCAGCGCCTTCTCCACCAAGAGAAAGAAAAAGAAAACTATCTTCACCCTCCTCTCTCACTGAAGTTCAGTTTGCAAAGGTTGCCGCAGATTTGCCCGACCAGCGCATAGCAGCGAGCGGCAGAGTAGAGTAAATGTTGGCTACATACGAGTGTCCAGCAGGAAAGCAAAGATAGGGCCGCCGCTCGGCTACTCACCACATGCACAAAAGACAAATAGATGGCGGTGCATATTCCCACGTTCAAGCGGAAGATTCGTTCTCAATTTGCACATTGGGTGAGTAGTGGAGCGAGGCCCATAAGCTACATAGTAGATACACGACTCCACCAACTGTCAGGAACCCCTCGGCTACCGTCTTCACCTGAATAGAACACCACCCGGTCATTATCGCTGCATCTGGACTGAAAGTTGCCACAAATGCAGCTTCACTGACCGGGCGTTCTATTCCGGTGAAGACCGTAGGGGTTTCTCCAAGCCGTACTCTAAGCGGTGTCTGCAAGCAGCCCATCCCTCGTCGAGTACGGATGACATCAATTGGGACGAAAGATGATCGACAAAACACAGATCTGCTAGCAAACGGTGTCTTGAAGCACCCCATCTTCATCGAGTACGGATGATATCAGTTACGTAAGATGATCGAGCAAGCGGTGGTTCCACAAGCACCCCGTCTTCATCGAGTGCGAATGACGTCATTTACATAGATCACATCCGGATTCTTTATGTGAGGGTTCAGGTGCGCCATTTTTGACCACTTGGTGGCATCTCCATACACCGTGGCCGAAAGAGTCCAGAGAGTGTCTCCCTCCTCAATCTTTCTTGTTGCGCCAACATTTGGTCTTGAAGAAGAGAAGGACGTCTTCTCTGCACTGCTCCCTCCTTTCATATGGGACATATTCCACCGGGAACCTTTTGCTCGGGATGACTGGTGCCTCCACTGGCTGCCATTGGATCCATTCTGACCACCTGGGTGAACGATCCCTGTTAATTGCATAGAGATCACCCTCAGGAAACCATCTTTTCCCAATCTCCCACCTTTCTTTTGATCCTGTCCATCCGATATCGCCCCTCCCACCCCCATATAGCCCAGCACTCCACTGCTGCTAGGGGCTGACCTCTCCGCTCGCACCACAGCTAACATTGGCGCTCCGACTGCCTCATACGAGTTCCGAGGGTCCCGCAATTGCACGAGCATCGCCAGAGTCAGTTTGTCGCCCTCTGGCGTAACCAATTGGCGATCGTGCGGTTCCGTTCCGCTCGTTTGCTGATGCATTTGGTCGCAGTTGTCGGCCTTATGCAGTGGAACTCCATACTGCCTTGACCTCGATAACGACTCAACCCCTGCCTCGTCAGACTGCAGCAGATCGCTGTCGCTTTCAGAAGCGATCTCCTTCAACCGGATCCACTCGTCAACAGAAATAGCAACCGGCGCGAACGAGGCCTCGTCCGTGTCCCGCGACGGTTCTGCTGAGCAAATACTCCGAGGTGCCGAAGCACCTATCCTCATCACCGTCTCTTCAATCGAAACATAATCGGTCTGCCATGTCCTCGTCCGTTCTTTGTAATCAAGCTTCTCGTCATTCGACCTGGGCTCCTCATTCAACCTGGACTGTATTCGGAGTCCTTGTACGGCCAACTTTTCTAACGAGTCAAGGGCCGTCGGCGTGAAATGGTCCAACAACGTCAAATCGCCAGAAGACACAGGCGTATTACGTTCACTTGCATCCACTTCACTTTCAGCATCGGACACTCCTCGACACCTTGGCTCTCCTCTCCATGTCGGCTTGGAGCCCTTCACATCTGCCAGCAACATGTGCATGCTGCGCCCCTTGTCTTGGAGTAGAACAAGACGGTCTCCAATCTCTTTAGCCGTCAACCCAACTCCCTCTGGGACCTCGACAGGCTTCGACACCTGCATGACAAACCGGCTTGAGACGCCTTTGTACACATGGCTTTTCATTGTCCGAAGGGTGTCGCCATCATGCGTTTTGATCTCCCAGTCACCCTTGCATGACAGCAACTGACCGTCCTCCTCCGCCGGACCAGGTGACGAGCGGGCGTTGCCCCGGCGCTGACCAGGCGCCCTAGAAATCTCATTACGTGGAACCGGAGTCCACAATGGCGCGCTGTGGGGTCTCGTGTCGAATTTCAGATTCCAGGACGTAGATTTTGAACCTTCTGTGGCCGTCTGGGGAGGCGTTCCCACCACCCCTCCTTCCGAAGAACTCCTGTTCCCCTTTCCCCCAGAGGCTGAAGGGTGGGCGGCGGAAACATCCAACCCGGGCGAGCTCCTCCGTAAGCCCCACTGGGCCATGAGTGACTCCATTTCTTCATCGTCGAATGTTTTTGCTCGCAGTTTGCTCTTTTGAGCCAAAGCTGCTCTCCTCTTCAACTTCGCCTCGGCGGCTTCTCGAACACCCTTCACGGTATCATCTATCTCTCTCGGATTCTTCCCCTCGTCGTCCCTTCTTGAATCTACATTACTCGTTACCCAGCGGCCTTTTACAGAGCCCAGACTCAATAATGCACCCGGCTCACTGTCCCCTGTCGCTCTTTGCGTCACATCCTGTCCTATGATGGCCTTCAACCCAGTTTTCGCGGGGAGCATTCGCTTTGCAGTCGACGGTGCAGACGATGCGCGAGGTGTCTTTTGGTCGTTAGCCAGTTCTGCCTCCCACATAGAAACAACATGCGATAGCGGGTTTGTGCTGCCGGCCTCGCTGGCAGTCTCATCGTCATCCTCCCAAATCTCGGGAAGATTGTCGGAGCCCTTGGCCACAGCTTCCGCCACATTCCAAAGCGCAACGCTGTCTTTCACACTTCGTCGCCGGCCAAGCCCGATTAATTTAGCGGCTGGATTTTCATTTCTAGTAGCCTCCTCTTTCCCATCCTTTTTCCCTCCCCCGTTCTCAAATGCTTCTCGCAAACGCCTCAATTCACTCTGGAAAGCCTTTCCAGCCTCTTCCAGGCGGCGGTCATCATCATGAGTGGAATCCCCATCACTTTCCTCGCTCTCAAAATCGATTCCAAGAACCTCACGCAACTCTCTCTCTAGCTCTTGAAGCACAGCCTTCTTCTGCTGTTTGGAGCTCTTTGGCAAGCCCTCTCCTCCTTCACCCACACTCTTCGGTTCAGCCCCACTTTTGCTCTTCTCTTTTTGTAGAACAATCACCTCCTCCAGTTCCCTTCGTCTCAGGCTGACAATTCCCTCTGCATCATCAATTTCCTGTGCGCAATCCATCACTGGTTCCCTGTTACTTCCGTCGACGCCATTCATAACCGTGCCGAGCGTGTTGTTCTCACTGGATTCAGAGTGCTTCTCTGCTCTGTCAGCAGGCACGGCGCAACTCTGAGCGTCCTCCCAAACATGTCCTTGCACTTGCCTATCCTCCTCCTCTTGTTCACAGGAATCATCCTCAGGGCTATTGCGGGCAGACGCAAACTCTTCCCTCCGAAATACATGACGATCGCCTTTTTCCTCTCTCTTCGCCTCCTCACCATATCCATTCCTCTGTGTGGACGACGGCATATCATCAAATTTGCGGACAGCCTCTAATGCCCACCTACTCGGGGGTGAGTTTAGTGGAGACTCCCCCACATTAGAGTCATAGGTCAATCCTTCGCTCGTTCTCCCGTTCGAGGAGATGGAAGCATCGAGGATGTCCCCCTCCCCTTGCACTTGTGCTTCTTCGTATGCGTCTCCTGCATGCAGACTGCCAAACCCCCCTCCTTGATGGTCTGTCCAACCTGTGACAGGAACATTAGCGGTCGATCGAGTGCTCCCAGGAATGCCATCACTTTGGCTGGACAAGCCGACAAAGTCGCGCCCACTTTCCGCAGCCTCCATAAGGGTCCCTTGGCTATCAATTCGCAAGCCAGCTCGCTTACTTTCCGTCATCATAGCAAGAGCGAAATCCGATCCTCCTCCTTCAAATACAGGAAGCCTTGCAGCAGAACTCGCGTCGTCTTCCGCTGACCCGTACCCATTCCACCTATTCTGCATTGACATTTGCCGAAGCATGTGTTCTTCCTCGGTGGCTCTGTTTCCAGCGGCGAAGCCTGTCTCGCTGTCGGCACTGGGACTTGCGTTAAAACCACCTGCGCCTCTGACGGCATCGTTATCGGAGTCGGAGCCGGTCGTGTCGATATCGATACCCCCGTCCATGGCAATGCCGTCATCTGCATCCTTTACCTTAGATACTGAGTGGCGGAATTTCTCGAGGAGCAAAGCGCCCCATCCTGCTCGCCCTCCTGAGCCTCCTCTTTCTCCGTGTCGGCTGTTCTCATCTTCCCATTCATCTCTCCGCTCAGACTGAACCCTCCTGTTCACTGCCTTTTGTTCCCCTTGGCCTGTACCCAGGCGTGCTTGTGAAGTGCCTTCCGCATCTCGCCTCTCAAAACTCCCGACCGCAGAGTTGTGCCGTCTGGAACCATCATTCGGTTCTTCAAAACGAAACTGAAAGAGGGGCGAAGCCGGCGGAGTCATCCGCTGCAAAGAGGCGTGGTACAGGGACTCGTTCTCGGCTTTCGTGGACAGCGGTACTCGTGCGGTCTTCACATGTTCTCCGCTCTGCTTCTCCGATGACAACCTCGAGCGAATCTTCCGGAAAAAAGTTGTGGCTGCCATCGCCACACCAATCTTTCGTGCCTTGAGAGTCTAATTGCATTCCCCTCGTTTACGCCCCGACCCGAAAATGCCCAGGGAAGATGTACGTATGTATAGATGATAGATAAATTTCCTGTCAGCGAGAGACAGCCAAAACGAGGGAGTGACCAAACACAACAAAGCGCCCACCAAGCAAACACAAACATAGCCCAAAATTACCAGCGGTGAAATCTCCACCAACCATGACATTGCTTATGCTTGCTTGCTGCTGTCAACTAGCTTGCTGTCGAGGCGGCAAAACCATCTCCTAACATTTTCATGACATCAACATCAAACACTCCCAGGCACAAAGCATCCTCAAGACTATCCCCTCCATCACGACGACAAAAGAAAAGGCAGCACTTTTCCAATCCACACAAGTCCGCAAACTGAACGAACGGCAGAAACATATCGATGCCGTCCTGTGCAGTTGGAATGGTGGTGCCTCTCTCTCTCTCTCTCTCTCTCTCTCTCTCTCTCTCTCTCTCTCTCTCTCTCTCTCTCTCTCTCTCTCTC